TGGACTACTATCACAGGTATCCATGACATAGTCTCCGCCATCACCTACAATAGAGTACCACATCCCTGGAACTATATTTTCTGTACATGTCTGTGGCTCCGCGACAAACTTGGAGAGTGGCATAGTGACTTTAAAAGGCAAAGATGATATCGAAACGGCTCCTGTGCACTTCCCATTCTCTGTTGGCGAGTCTCTGAAGTTCAGTTTGTACTGTCCTCCAACTCCGTCTTTCAATAACAAGAGGACATAGTACTCATAATTGCTACTGAAGTTGCCGACAATTCGTGGGTTCATCCCACCACAGGAGTTATCGTCATAATAGACTTCTTGAAGATGATAACACCCATCAGTGGACGTGTATACATAAATCTCCGGGTCGAACTCGCTTGTATAGTCTCCGCATGTATCGATGAAGCCAAGGGTATTAGCCGCGGGGGTGTATTTAAACCACGTTCCGTAATGTTGTTGACCATCACTGAGTGGCGTTGTGACTGCCATAGTCTTATCGAGTCTTCCAGTGACTACCGAAGGCAAAAAGACTTCTTTTGCGACAGAGCAAATGTTGGAATAAGGGTTCTGATGCTTCTTAAAGACAACTTGGAAATTACCAACGTCTTCCGATGTCGTACCAGAGACTACAACATAGTACGTCTGACCAGCTAATGCCCTTAAGACAACGTGCGCCTTACCACCTTCACATGTGGTATCGTCAAAGTCGTCGTCATTTGAAGCAACACATGTGTGTGCTCTTGAACTCCCACACTCCGTCAAGACACCAATTCTTGTGTTGAAACCAGTCCCCCAGTTACATGTACTGATATCGATGTCGATTGCACTGTTCAGTGTAAATTTGTAGAAGTACGAACGTGGTGGTGAAGAACCACACCCATACCGCGCATCACAGACCCAACAGAATGGCGTTTGTGTACTGGTGTCCCCGTTGAATACAGCTTCTTTGTTGATGTCCAAATCAGTTAAAGTGATTTCGTGCGCAGTCCCACATGTGTCGTATTCCGCACTACATAAGCAGAAAACGAGAGTTGATATGAGGAATAACATCTCTGATTTTGAAGTTCAGAAGATCTTTTTTATTTTTCAGGTCTTATGGAGTTTTCAATCAAAAAATAGTTTTTAATGGAATTGTGATTTTATTGAATAAGTTCAATTGGTTCGACGGTTCTGTTTTTTAAATGGTATATTTATAGTAAAAAATATTAAATATAGTTTGATAAACTTGTAACTCAATATAATATAACTTTATGGTATAATTTTTATTATATTATTATGTTATTATATTCATATAATAAATTATACTATTTATTTTAACTAATATATATTAGTAATTATTTTAATTTAAATAAACTAATCATTTTTTATTATTTATTAAAAATAATAGAAAATGGTTGACCTTATGTTATTAATAAATAAATAATAATGATTACTATATATTATAGAACAAAAGAAAATTGCCAATTTATTTTCTTTGTAATGGTTTAAATTCGTTAGCCTTATAACACTCAACTAAAACATTATCATTCCTTCTGTTGTCTTGTGTTTAATATCAAACTTCCATATCAACATCATAACTCTTCTTAATCATTACCACTATTATTCTCAAACAAAAAATCACCATCATTTTTATAGTTTTTCATTATATTCAGTCTTATAACGTTATGTACTAGATAATCAAACCAAGTGGATAATTTCGGAAACCATTCTGAAAAACCCATCCCATTGTTTCAGTTTTTTTCACATTTTTTGAGTTTTTACCTAATTCCCATTTTTTAAACGAAAATACAGCCATTTGATTACAGTCAAATAACTTTTATGAACAGATATTGTTTATTGACGGACTCTATTATTATTATTCATACTCATTTAATTATTTAAAAATTCTGTAAATATATATTTTTTGTTTACTATATGTATAATAAAATAAATTAATAAAATTTATTCAAAAAAAAAAATTTTGTTTTTAAAATAGCAAAAAATGGAAATAATAATAAAAAACATAAAAATTGTGTTTTTATTTTATTTGAACTATAAATAAAATCTTTTTCTTCTAGAAAAACATTCGAGAATTATCTGGAATGTAAAACTGTAGTAAAACAATTATTTTAACTAATTATTATTAGTTAAAATAATAGTTATTAAAATAATAGTTCATCCTTTTGCCAAATTCCAAACATTTTTCTTTAAATCCCAACAAAAACCGATTAAAAGTCCTACCACAAATCAAAACCAAAAAATGGAAATTTGAAACTGACTATTTTTTTTCGTAAAAGTATTAGAAATAGAACTATACCATATTAATTATATTAATAACTATTAATTTATTAAGATGAACTTTCAAAGTAGTTGATGTCAACACGCAGAAAACTTGTTCGTTCAAAGTCATTCTTTTCCTTTGAAACTGGGATGTCGGACACCGGGGTAATAACTCAAGAACCCACAGACTTCAAACATCTTCCAAATAGAAGTCCATCTACAACTATTGATCGCAGTACAATGACGAATGAACCGTTCCATCCCAACTCTCTTCCGGTAGCCAAGTCACCACGAATATATCGCAAGAAAAAGTATTTCATGCAACTTCCAAGAAAGGCGTTTCAAGAGGACAAACCAACGACTTCGAAAAAGGAAAGAACAGTCCCAATAACTGTCTGTATAGTCGCGGAGAAGTCAGATTGTTTGTTCTCGACAGAGATGCTATCTGATAGTACTAATTAATTGTGTTTGTTTCATTGCTCTTATTATTATAATATTAGTATATTATTACTATAATATTAATAATGGTATTATTATAATTATAGTATTATTAATTATAATTAATACTATTAAGATTGTCTCGACCATTTGACTGCGACACTTTTACTGAGGAAAACAACAAACAAAATTACATGAATTAGCTTTTAAACTACAACAGGCCCAAACACAAGAAAGTTCTTCTTCCAACCGATGTACTCGATTTCGGAATGGAAAAACATGGTGACAGTTGTCTTAGTATTTTTGAAGTTAAGAATGATGAAATACTTCTCGTTCTTTTCTTTTGTGACGTACGAGACATCTTCCTTCTTACACATCCATTTGAGTGTCAAGGCATTCTTCTTCTCGACGAACACTAATACCATTTGACTGAACAAAGCGACAGTGGACGAGAAGCGGAGTGTTGCTTTCATAGTGACTACCCCGTCGTAGATATACTCTCCCAAATTTTCCTTAGAAGGCAAATAAGGAGTGTAGAGCAATGTCTTCTGATGGGAGATGTACGCACTCTTCTTGTCATCTATCACCTTTGTAACATGTTTCACCAATTCGAGTGCTTTCTGTAATTGGCCGTATTCGTTTGTGAAATTTGGAGTTGCTTTTATTAACGAGTCGAGGAGAAGGACATAGCGCGGGAAACGTTGGACGGGCTGGATCAAATAGTTAGCAGGTATTTTGCAGTTGTACGCCCACTGACTCACTAACTCTTTGATCTTCCCTTCTTTTAACTCAAATGGATACTCAACAGCAGAATCCCCCATCACTATGTATTGTCCATACCACTTCGCCACTTCAGCGTTGTTAAAGAAGTCAATGAATAAGTCGGAAACGACCATTGCGGAGACATCACTGTCCTCTCCACGTCGCTTCTGAATCTTTTCGTTGAAGTCTTTGTTGATGCAATAGACTTGTGGGAAACAGTTAAAAGCGATTGCAAGCTCCTCTGGTGACATCAAGTCTTTCAAAGGGACATACATCTCCTCTAAACATTCTTTCATCTGTTTGACATAACTGTTCTCTGTATCTAAAAGTTCCATTATAATGTGCTTTCTCTTTGCTTTCTTTAAGTTCAAGTCCGCTATCATTTTCGCTTGGTCTTCATTCAAGTTAGTCGAGCCGTCGCAGAGATATTTGAACTTGGGTATGTCAAAACTCACTTTAATGTCCATTTTTTCTTCAGTGATTTTTTGTGGCTCAACGACGGTGTTTTGACGAGGTCTTTGTGTGTCTGTTGAATTAGTTAATTTATTCGACTCCACTTTTTGTGGAACAATCAACGTGTTTTGCGGTGTTATTTGCGTTAAATTGTTGTCATTTTGTTGTTTATCACTTCCTTTTAAATTGTTTTGGGTGTGTTCTGAACGCTCTTTTGTAGCATCGTCACTGTCACTCGAATTATCTTTGAATGTTTTAGGAGGTTGCACCTGTATAAAACCATTTTTCTTCTCATTGCGACTGCCAGAAAGTCTTGTTGTATTGATTGTTTGCCTTTCTTTGAACTTTTCTAGCGATTCCCCAACTTCGGCAAATGTCTTTCTCTCTTCCTCCATTAACATTGAAATTTCATTTTGCTTGAACCTCACACCACTGCGCTTATACAGTCGTGGAGTGAAACTCAAGTCTAAAACTACTTCATCTTCTTTCATATCTTTTGGTGCCTGTTTTTTGCTTCCTCCAACATTCAGCGAAAAGGACTTTTTCTTTGGTGGAACATTTTCAACTTTTAAAAAGTCCGATTGGTCGTCCTTTGTGAATCTTTGGTCTTCAACTTTTTCTTTGTGTAAAGGACCAATTGTCACAGGTCTTGGAGAGATTTGCGTTTGTGACTCTTTTAGAGGCATTTCGACCTTTTCGTCTTCCTTTTGAGTGACATCTTCTTGACCTATAACATCCTCTTTGATTTCATTCTTCTCTTTAATGTCGTTTTCGGTGGGTTGAAGTTCGGGAAGGATGTCTTTCACAACGCTTTGAATTGCATTTTCAATGGTATTCCCATCAGACACTCCTTCCTCAACTAAAGATGAGTTGTTCTCTATTGGCTCTTTCATCTTTTCTTCCATGATCTCTACAAGTGCATGGATCTTCTGGATTTCTCGGGTGTCGTGCTGTTGAAGAGTCGCTTTCATTGCATTAAACATTTGGTTTCTGAATTTATAATTAGCCATACGGTTAACTATTTTACTCACCACCTCTGTCACTTCTGGGACCTTTTTGTCCAAGTCACAGACGGTCTTTTCGAGACCAAAAAATTGGAACTCGACAAGCATTTCTTCGTCCAAAAGAAGATTAAAAATCGTTGACAAAACCGCCCTTAAAATTTGCACGGTAATCTTTTCCATGTGACTCAACAACTCACAGAGGCGCGAGGAGAGGCCTATCCCACGCATTTTAGGGATCGCTCCTCGCACTGCAGAACACTCTTGAAATATCATTATGACATACAATAATTCGATGGACTGTAATTTGTCTGGGGAGTCAATAAACTCGGTGAGATACAGGAAGATATCGCCGTCGATGATTTGTTGGACTGCGCCTGTTGAAGTCATCACAAAAAGGATTTTCAATATCCGTTGTCGCGTCTCGTTCGACACAATCTCCATCACAGAGACAACAGCGTCAAAGAGACCTTCGTCGATTAAGTGTTTTACATACGCCTCGCGCCGTGTTGTTCCGTCTGCGAGTAATTGATATATCAAAGAAACAGCAATGTTAGTATTATGCGGGTCTCTTGTTTTCATCAACGAAATCACTTTGGAAATGCCCTTTGCGTGTAAAAACTTGACTCTGACATTTGTCGCTTTTGGCTGAAGAAGGTTTGTTAAAATGGTTGAAGATGTAAACGTTTGTGCGAAGGACCCAGAGCCGATTAAGTCGACCAGTGGTTTAATGGTGGGTTCAAGTGCGTTCACAAAGTCGGATTGTTCACTTAAAATGAGTAACAAATCAGTCGATAAGTCTTTGATTGTTTTATCTTTTGAACTTATTGAATTCGCTAAAAAGAGTGGTAACACGGGGTCGTTATTTATTAAGTGTTGTGAAAATTCTACACATTGAAAATCAGGTTCAGTGTCAGAAAGTTCACACAACAAATCAAGTGTCTCTGCTGTGTGGAAATTTTCTATAAATAAATCAGTAATGAGTTGGGGAGAGATCTTGATTAAGTAATTATAAAAAGTTTCTTTCACAAGTGAAGACCGAAGAACGTCAAATGCTTTGTGGTACCTTTCCTCATCATGTAGCATGTCATAGAGAGAATGTAACAACAACGTCTCCTTCTCTGAAAGCGTCTCTAGGGCATACTTGTCGCACATAAACCACTTTTATGTTTTAAGTTCGTTGTAAATCTTTTGAAAGCTTTGTTTTCTTTTAAAGGCTATTTCGGTCCTTTCAATAGATGTTTCTATTTTTAGATATATTGAGTATTTTGTTCTTGTGATGTGTTATCTTTATATTTCTTTTGTCATAATATGATATAACATCGACACTTTTTTGGAGTTTTTAAGACAACTTATGTTTAATCAACGACTGGAAAGGTTTTTTTAAACAAGAATCAATAAGAAATATTGGAAAGTTTAAATGTCACAAGTCGGGATCTTTGAATAAAAAGTGCTAAAA